ACCTAAGAGTGATGGCCTCCAACCTAAGAGTGATGGCCTCCAACCTATAGTAGGGATGGCATTCGGAAACCATGGCAAGGACACAGTAGGCCATCGCTACTAGGTGGATTTCCCCAACTACACGTGTCGAGTGACCTATGGTCCCATGGCTGAGTCTTGGTGAACAAATAACTTGTTTTTGGGTGGACATGCCAGGGTCAACCCTCGCCACATTGGGTAGAAAATCTCATTAAAACCAGCATGGCCGTTACATGGCCACTGGTCAAGTGTCATGATCTTCAACGCCACAACTGATCTCAATCCCAAACATTGAAGCAACGGAAGTAGACCACTCGAAGCCTTTAAAAAAGGCCGAAGAATGATCAACATCTTTAAAAAAAAATAAACACCTTACTACTGAATACATTTGAATACGAAAGCAACGGCCTTCGTCGATCTCTGCGTCGGCCAAGTACATCATGTGCTGATCCAAATAGTTTGTGGTCTTCACCTCCTTGCGCCCCGTGAGCCATTCGCACAGTGTGTTGGATCGTTCGAAGCCAATACAGCCCACCACCACGTCACATGCCATGAAGTCTCCACTCGACAACACCACGCCCTCTTTCTCAATGCGATTGATCGTACCTCAATGCGTCGATCCTACTCCGTTACTTCGAATTGCCTTTGTTTTGGTTTTGTGCTTACCCAGCGCAAAATAACATAGTCTCGGGTTGGGGGGCACATTCCATCTTGACATATGCAGCTGCATTTGTTGCCAATGTGATACCGTGATACCTGTCTTGGTGGTCAGCTTCTTCATGTGATGGGCAATGAACCAAATGTCGCTCACTGAAATGGTGTGGCCGTCATGTTTCACCTCCATGCGAGCAAAAAAATATCAGAAATAAGCAAAGCAATCCTTCTAGTGATGGCCTCCTCCCTAATACCAATGGCCTCCTCCCTAATAGCGATGGCCTCCAACCTAGTAGCGATGCAAAAACAACTAGATGATCTTCATCTTTGCTTTAAAAACATAGGGGTTTGCTGCGCGTTGACCGGCGCAAATGGCGAATAGCTCATGGTCGATACAGCAACCGTGATAAATAACCTTTGATCATGGTTGACAATAAGGTCGGTTTGTATAAACTGAGGGGCATGGTTCCCCTGTAGAGAACCCTGACATTGGCGGCCTTAATGCACATCCCTGTTGATTTCAATCGGTTCCACGGGCAAGAGAGCTTCGCAAACCTGCCTGCTTAGGCCAACATTCAGGCACTTGACAGCCAGATGCTTCGTAGAGCTGCTTCCACCGCAAGAACTGTTTCACATTGGTCTGCGTGTCATGCTTGTACTTCTCATCCCATGGTTTCACAAAGTTCAAATAGTCAATGGCCTGGCTGTTCGCAGAGCGACTTGAGTTTCTTTTTACATGTGCGGGGCCCCTTAGTTCATGACCAAATGAAAGGGGGCATAGTTGATGACTGATAACATATTCACTCGAAGCATCGGTGAAATTGCCCTGGCAAGTTTAAGGCAACACAGTCCGCCTGAATGCAGTCGATTCCAATGCTGACGATTTACTTGTGGAGATTTCAGTTGGTAAGCCTAGTTGATCGCTTGTGTCGCTTGGTGTCAGCTTTTCGTGCATTCGGTTCATGACCGCAGCCACTTTCGCTCAGCGAGTGGAAACTGCAGCCGCCGTGCTTGCTTTGCTTTGCAGGGTTTTGGTCCCTTTTCTTTTTGGTCGGTGCAATCAGCTTCGCGTTCATTTCAACCGCCATATTACTGAGGTTTGTGCATCAAGTAGCTTCTCAATGGTGACACCAACAAGTTTCCCCTTGAAGTGAGATGCTCCAACCCTAGTAACAAAAAGCTATTAGAAACAAGTGCCTTACTAGTAGTAACAGGTGCCTTACTAGTAGTAACAAGAAGCTATTAGACACAAGTGCATCGCTACTAGGAACAGGTGCCTTACTAGTAGTATCAAAGATGCTTAGTGGGAGGTGACGATCACCTGCCAGTCCAACCGGTCAATCAACATCCACAAATATGCTTAGACCCTCTGGTGTTGTGAATTCGCCACAACCAAGAAACTGAGGTCTTCAAAGAACTGAACGAACAAAACCAAATACTTGAAAGAAACAACCCATCTAGAAACGATGAAGAGGGCAAGCAACAAACATCAGTAGAGCAGCAAACAACTCACCCTGAAAACCGGAATCAAAAGAATCAGAGCAAAGAACAACACAACACTGGATCCAGAACGCATGCACTAGTTGTTTTTGTATATATTTGTCTTCAATACATGTTCTTTCTGATGTGCTTTAAAATGATGTTTCTCGGGTTTATGTTGTTGATTGATTTGAATTTAGCCTTTGTTTTGTTTTGGCGGTGTATTCTAAGTTGATGTTTTGTCTTATTTCTGTAATACATGTTTATTTAATGTTGATAATGACACTAACTTGGGCCGGTTTCTTTTTGCGTGTTTGCGCCGTGTCGTAGTTAGTGCTTCGCTGAACACTTGGTGGGAGAGCAGGACAGTGCTTTAGTGGTCTGCACGCGCTGGTCGACGGAGGGGCGGTGTGCGTGAACAATTTGTTTGGTGTGGCGGGACCAGTTTGGTGCCAAACAACGGTTTGGTTTGCATTAAAACAGGACGGGGCTTAGAGCATGTCACAAAAAATCATTGAGACACTGGGGAGAGTGGACGCCCAACACACCTTTGTGCTCTGTTTGGTGGCGAACTGGTGCTATATCATGGGTGCAAACACAATGGATGCATATACAAGTGTACAGTGGTGCGCTTATATTTTCCATCGTGCTAAACTTGTCGCCCGAACAACTTCACCACGCAGTTCTGCAAGTTCTTGTTGAGAGACCTACCAACAACGAGTTTTGTTACTAGTAGCTTCTTGCTCCTAGTAGTACGGCCAGGAGCCCCTAGTAGCGAACATTGTTACTAGTAGACCTACCACGGTTTCGCCAATTTTGCAACTTCGCCTTGGGACAAATGGTGCCATGACGACGGGCCACCACGACGACCTCTGCTGCGCCTCTTTCTAGGGCGGTACGCCTCAGTGTGAAGCCATTGAAGCTTTGCCCCCGGAGAAAACAAATTATATAAATACATGGTCCAAGCATGGGTTACATCTGGTGAAGTGACTTGTCGCACCACCGACTGCAACTGACATGTAGATTGAGGTGGCAAACAGTGACAGGCATGAGTTCTGAGTTTCTCAAAGCTGTGTTGGCGGGTGTTATTTTGCTGGCAAACAGCGGGACTGCAAAACCGATAGCTTCAGGAACACAGCCTAGTAGAACGGGTGTAGCCACTACTGATGTAGTGAAGAGCTAGCGTGGCCGCAAAACGGGCAAAGTCTTCAAGCTTGAGGGAAACCAGGCCTTCAGGCTCTGCCACAGATGTGGCCTTTGAAGCCCTTAACCTATTTTCGCAAGGCGAAGCTTAAGTAGGAGCCCCCAGTGTTCGGGCTGGTAGGGTTGCGGAGAAGCAAACAGTGTGGACTGGGCAAACAGTGGTTGTGGTTTTCACAAGCCGTTGCACAAGTTGTGTCGACGCGTTTCCCAAGTCTTGGACACATTCTCCACAGCAAATGCGCCCATTCCAGCAATGACGACTCGCTTGCCACACCAATCTACGCCTGGCAGTTCATACACCCAAAGGCTGTGAATGGTTTTTGGGGGGGATCTTCTTCCCCTCCTGTCACGCTTCCACATAGTGGTTTCTTTCATCCAATTTGAGAATGGTTTGCTTCTTGATTTCCCTGATGAAACATGCAATGTCCAAACTCGTCCCTCTCACAATGCCAACCCCCACCCTGTTACCGACACCTCACCTGCCAGTGAATCTGATGTGCCATCAGCTACCACTCCCTGGAAGCTCTCTTTCCCAGGCACATCCAGTGGTCTCGGTAACCCAACACGGTCGTTGACGCACAGCACCACACCACGGCACTGAACGATCCCAGCACCTTGCGCCAATTCCTAAAGCTCGGTGTCTGGATGAGACGTTGGCAAACTGGGGAAAAAACAAATCAGCTTTGAGAGACGATGCCCCTAGTAGCGTTCTTGCTCCTAGTAGCGATGGCAGGAGCCCCTAGTAGCGTTCTTGCTCCTAGTAGTACGGCCAGGAGCCCCTAGTAGCGTTTTTCTCTTTGTTTTTTCTATGGCTTCTTCAAACCCAGTTTGCAACTGTAAAGCAAACCGATATCCGCTAACCCTATAGTGTTCTGAATTCTATAGTCACCGACTTGATTTCCGCGCATGAGGATTCCCATTTCGTGGTTTGCAAGGATCCTTCCTTCACAACCGGTTTCCAACGGCTTGTGTATCACGACTATGACTAGGGGCGTTTTCGAAGAGCACCGTGTAGCTGCCCTGTTCGCCCAGAATCTTCATGACCTTTACAGAAGTGAAGATGTGCTGTTTCAATTGATCACCTGAGCCACAGCCAAGCGCCACCGTTTCGCTTTCTACTGGTTGGTGAACCTTCGTTTCAGGGTTCCCCACTTTCTGAAATCAGCATTTTATGGGTGTTCAGCATGAATTGACGGACCTGATGAATCCGTGGGTTAGTGTGTCAAAACACATAACTGCGGCAACCTTGTATAGGACAGTGTGATTCTTCAGGTTCTGGGCGGGAGAACTTCTGTGCAACCACCGCTGGTCGCAGTTTGGCCACACCAACCAGCTGAAGTCACCTAGCTTGGCCAAGTCTTTCAGAACTTCTGCAGCAGTGCTGTGGTCGCGGTTGTCATGACTGCCATCCTCCTGACTGCGGCAAATCTGAGCAATGCCGTGGGTGGCTATAAACAGAAACCATGTCAAAACTTACCAACTTGTTCGGGGAAACGAGTGATCATGTGCGCAAAGGATCGTTGGCACAAAGGTCTTACTTACCACCGTCTGTATGGGAATGCAAATACATTGCTTAAAAAACTGGTGCAATGGAAAAAACAATACAAGAACTTGGAACCAAACCAAAAACAAACAGGGCTGCGAACCTCCTCTTGGAGAAGATCCTTAATGCAGTAGCCACCTTCTGAGCTGTTCACCTGTGAGGTGCTGTTGGCATACATGGACCAAATTCCTCCAATCACCGGACGCTGCTCCAGCACTGCCACACTGAAGCCAGCTGATGTACACCGTTGCGCCGTGAGCATGCCAAGCAACCCGGCACCCACCACAACCACGTCCACCGTGCTTGGGACTGACTGCGACGGAAGTACCAGGCAGCGCTTGTCGAAGGTCGTCTGAGCCAAGGCTTTCAGGCATACCTCCAGAAACTAAAAGTGTGTTCCCTAGTTCTTACTTCAAATACGAATGAACTTTTGAGTAAAAAATTGTGTGCGTGGTGGAGAGAGGGGGTCGGTGGTGGTGTTGGTGCTGGTGCTGGGTGCCGGCGTCGTGAGCTGGCCGTGCGCGTAGTAGAGACAGGGTGCTGTGCGTGCTGTGGAGATAGAGCGCCGTTGCACCACCTTCCCGCCCTTGGCATCTGAAAAGCCGTGCAGCGCAGCAGAATCCCAGTGCAAGGCAACCGTATCAAACTAAGCAACAAGTGAATGTTTCCAACACCCAACATCGTACAATAGTATGCGCGCAAACGTTTCAGCCCCTACGTTTCACAGGCATCGCATGCAAACAGGGCATCAACAAAGGAAAGGCGAAAGATGCGAAACACCGCGCTACTCCGAAGTTCCTCACAACTTCAAGCAGCTTTGGGTTCACACTCACGTGTCAATGACCATGGGTGAATCAAGAGTTCCTCGAGCGTTTGCATTACACCTTGGCATGTTCCGCGTATAAGTCGTCTACGCTTACAAAAGCATGCGCGCAAACAGTACAGCCCTTAGGTCTGACAGCCGTCGGCCAAAGCGGCCAAAGCAGAGGAGAACCAGGAGATGCAAAATACAACACAGCACATTGTGGAGTTTCTAGCATACTCAAGCAACTTTGGGTTCACGACCACGGGTATACCAAATTAGATACACAGATGTTCCCGACCACGTCATGTACACCGTATGACGTGTACAAAAGTACGCTCAAGCCTCACAATGCCGGCGCGCAGCACCCACCAATATGGTTTGAATCAAAAAGGTTGGTTCTTGAAGAGCCGGATTCGCAACTCATTTCATGAGTCGAACTAAAGAATCCCATTGCCATAGATGATATGCGCACTCTTTCCACATGTTTCCTCCTGACAGCCAGAGCTAATGCGGTTCTTTCTTCCAATGCTTTGGAGCTGGTGCCGCTGCAGGGCGCTGTCCAGAAATCCGCCGACCCTGGTCTAGGCCGACGAACGTGAGCGTGATGGGAGCGGGGCGCGCCAGTTGAGGGACTCCAGTGAGCGGTGGACGATGTCGCGCTGCCGTCGCATTCACAAAAACCTGCCTCAAAGTCCAGTCTCGTAGGTGACCGTCAAGACCCTTTTTGCTGGAAAAGCTTTGCCCACAATTTGGCCCCGGGTTCAACTCAGCCGAAGCCACATGGCACCGCGCGCGCCTGCGCGCCGGGGTCCACTTTCCTCTTCTTGGCACGGTACCGGGCAGAAGAGAGAGGCGACCGGCGGTGCTAGGCCCCTAAATATCTTTTGCGTGCTTTTGCTATCTGGGGTCTATGCTCGTGTAATGTTGTTTGGTTTGGTTGTCGGGTGGGCTAGCAAGTAGCAGTTAACCAAAAAGGAATAAGCTATTCAGCCTGGGAAAAGGTGCCTGTGTGCACTTTTTGGAGCCGCTGATGCCGCTGCCAGATGTATGGCTGTGTGCGCTTTGGAGCTTGGGTGCTGGTGCTGCTGCAGGGTGCTGCGGTGTGTTTGTAGCCGTGTGCCGGTGCAGGGGGCCGCTGCCCAGTGCGTGGTTTAGTTTTGCTATCTGAGGTCTACGCTAACGGTTTTTTGCGTCAAGTATATATGTGCGCAGAAGGCCTGTGCGCGCTTTGAAGCTCGGGCGCTGGAGCCGCTGCTCGGCGCTGCAAAGCGTGACCAGATGTTTATGGCAGTGCACGCTTGGGAGCCTGAGTGCTGGTGTTGCGCGCAAAAATATTTTGGTGAGACGAGCTCGCAACTGGATTATCTGAGGGCGTCGCGTTAATGGGTCACCATGGATGGCTGCTTGAGCCTAATCTGGGCCAGACTTCTCCTCTTCTCGACTGTCCAACCACTCCATCAGTTGTTGGCGGGCGGAATTCGTGGAAGCTCGCATTGGCTGGTCTTCATCCGTGGAGTGGGTGCAACGGCCTAGAAATTTTGGACACGACTCGCAGTTTCGCCTTCAGAGCGAGGCGAGGACGCCGCCACAGCTTAGCGGCTGTAGATCTCAGATCCAAGGTCCCACTGCGTGTCCCACTGCGTCATGTGTGTCCAGCAGGGCGCGCTCTTTCACCTTTTGGGATCTTCGCTATCTCTTTTTTCACAGTTCACAGTTCCAGCTGGACCTGAAGTGATAGCACAGTCCTCTTCCGTCTGGGTGTTTCTCCTGGACCACCAAGTTCTCTTGGAATTCTTGGCTCCAAAGTGACGCTGCCAGATGTCTATGGCCGTATGTGTTTTGGAGCCTGGGCGCTGGTGCAGCTGCAGGGTGCCGCTGCCCAGTGCATAGTTTCGCTATCTGGGGCCTATGCTCAAACAAGTGTTTGCAGCCTGAGAATCTGCGGTAGCGGGATCAGCTTGCGAGCTGGGAGCCGATCGAAGGAAACCGTTTCAGACGGCCGGTGAGCAAAAGCCGTGCCATGTACTCCGTACCGTCGTCACAGGCACCTGCCTCCTTGTTACACCCGGATTCACCATTTGATCAAAATAGCACAAAAGCTCTTTGTCCTGCACCCCTTCCATCGCTTTCTCGCACGCTTTAGAAAAATAGAAAACAATTTGAACGCACATTATGTGTCTTAGAAACAATGTCCCTTTTGCGCCTCATTGGCCATGTCTTTGAGGTTTCTCTTCGAGAACTCTTCCACCTCGAAGCTGCACCAGGTCTCAGCTCGTCGAGAGACCACGCCACTCATCGGGTCGTTGAGCCATGTGTGGACACCTTGTGCCAAGGACAAACCATCGCCCAACGAGATGAAGGCCAACCTGAATCTTTTTCGGTCGGACAAAAAATCAAGATCAACAACCGAACAACCGCTTGCTGTAAAGAGCGCAGCTTGTGTGTCAAGTGCGCTGGGAGTCTTGAAAGCACATCTAAGGCCAAAGCAACCTCTGCAACAAAGAAAGATTGAAAACGACCACTTCACCTTGCTGAAAAACCTGTCATCACTGAGTCCTCACCTATCTTGGCATGTTTTGGTATCAAGGTTGGTTTCACCTGGGCCTCTAAATACTCCTTTCCCACCCTTTGATGTTAACCTTCAGAAACCGTGAACCTAATATCATCGTTTCATCTGTACCTCTCCTAGCTGGTTGTTCACGTTCACCGTGCGGCAGCGCAACGGCACATCCACGATCCACTGCAGCGCTTCTTTGGCCTCTTCCAGCTTGGTGAAGTGCAGCGCCGGACACCACGTGGCTCCGGCGACATCCTCCAGCGCTGCACGAAGCTGGGAGGCGCAGTCCATTGCAACGGGCTCCTGCATAGCGTAGGGTCGAAACAAGTGATTCACTCTTTGCCCAGGTGAGCACCCGGGAAACCACACAAAACCAATCACAACCAATCACAACCACACGCATGGTTCGAGAGAGTTTGCTTGTGAACTGTGAACATCTTCAGACTCGGACTTGAGGACATCTGTTTGGACGTGCCGCTTCTGACAAAGACTTTGAGCAAAGAGACATCTCTTCGAGAGATGCCTGTGAACATCTTCGATGAGTGGGATCCACACATCCCGGAACAGCCTAGAACAGGAAGGACATCAGAGATGAGGTGACGGTGGCTGTGGAGGATGAGCGCGACAACATGCGGCCAAAATACAGGAACAAACATGCGCCAAGTGAAGTCGCAAATTTCTACTGCATATGTGAGGCGCTGATGAGCAAAGGTTGACAGACAGCCCAGGTCATTGCGCAGGGCGCAGAATAAGTAAAGCACTGGCAGTCGAAAGCCCTCCAGTCGGCACTATCGCCAGACTGGATACGTTGTGCCAAAGGGACAGTTTGGAGGCCATCGCTCTTAGGTCGGAGGCCTTCACGCTTAGGTTGGAGGCCATCGCTCTTAGCGTGGAGGCCATCGCTCTTAGCGTTGGAGGCCATCGCTCTTAGCGTTGGAGGCCATCGCTCTTAGCCTTGGAGGCCATCGCTCTTAGCGTTGGAGGCCATCGTTCTTAGGGTGGAGGCCATCGCTCTTAGCGTTGGAGGCCATCGCTCTCAGGGTGGAGGCCATCGTCGCTCTTAGGGTGGAGGCCATCGCTCTTAGGGTGGAGGCCATCGCTCTTAG